TCGAAATGTGACAGAAGAGAAAAATGAGGAAAAGCAGGAAAATCAGCTCTGCCACAGGAGCCTCTCCCAGCAGGACTGGCACTCCCCAGGCCTCCAAGCTCCTTCTGAAGGATCTGCTCTGTGCTCTCTGGGTGGATGCTGCTGCAGCACGAAGCAACAGGCCCCAAACTGCTGTTCCTCAGGTTCAGAAACTGCAGTGCTGACAAAGCTGCTCTGCCCCCTTTCAAGATGAGCAAGATGATCTCTTTGGAAAACATCATTTGAATTAACTAAGAAAAAATATTTTTTTGCCTTTTCTTACTTCAAGGACTCAGGGGTCAGTTGCAGGGAAAGCTGAAGCCTGGGGCAAGATTCACTTCATGCAACACTTCCAGCAAAGGGTGCAGCAGGGAGGCCAGGACAGGCTGGCCAGGGAGGTGAGAGTCTCAAGACTCTTGCACTTGCAATACCTTGTACCTTTGCAGAGAGAAGCAAAATTTTTCCATGAGCCCTATGTAACTTGGCAGCTCAGTACCATATGAAAACATCAAGGCAAAGCACATGGAGACATTAAAAAGTGTTTGACACCTATTTGCAAAAAGTTCCAGATGTGGACAGGCAAGATGGATAGCAGTGTCTGATACTTATCAGGTGTCATGCACAAGCCATTGGCAAATATTTGATTTCAAAATAAACTTTACTAGCAGGGGATTATGTTTGTTTTTTGTCACCTCCTTGTCTGCAGACCATATGCTGGCACAATGCAGTATCTCAATTTCTGTCTCCTTGTCTACACTAGAAATCACTTCTAATGATTCATCACTACCTCTGTTATTTAAAAAGTCCTGGAATTCAGGTGGGAGGAGGCTCTGGGCCCACCTGACTGCATTCTCTCATGGGCTGCTGTGAAAATCCTCTGGTGTTACCTGAATCCACTGGCAATCCAGAGATGGCCTCAGAGTGGTTTGAGACTCTCCCTGGGAACTTTTTGCTCTTGCTCCATTCCAAGACAACTTAAGTATGCAGAAAATCAACTTGTTCATTCCTTTTTTTTTGAAAAAAAATGCATTTCACCCACAGACCTCAGAATAACTCTGACACAAGCACTTTGTACTCCTCTTACAGTATTCAGAGACTCACACCAGCTCACTCATCACATGCTTATCCCAGTCTTTCACTGATCACTCATCCAATTCCTCTTTGTTTCTGCAGAAAATTGCATTTAAAAACACACACAGAGAAATCCTTGCATCCTGGTCCAATGCCAATTAGAAAATTTCTTTCACAGCAACAATGAGCATGTAAAAAGACTTTGCTGTATTCTATGCACACTAGATGCCCAAAACTCAAGAACTAAATATTTAAAATATTGCTATAAACACCCAAATTGTTAAAACCATTGGTGTTAAGGAACCACTTTCTCAGTCACTCTCCCCAAACAAACAGTCAGTATCACAGACATTTTCTCTTCTGAATGAATGCAACACATTTTCCAAAGGTGCTGTGTTTCATATCCCAACAGCCTGCCTGGCTCTTCAGCTGCAAAGGCACAGCCAAACAATGGTTTTGGAAAAAAGGCAGCCAGGCAATTAGTTGTTGTCAGGAAACCACTATTTTTGCACCTACCCGTGACAAGGAGGAGTTAGAAACCACCAAACTGCAAAATGAAACAGCACTAGGAGGCACTTTGGACAGAGTTCCTAGGAAGTACGTAAAAGCACTTTTCAAACTAAAAATTAATCATTTGTAGCAAGCTCTAAAACAGCCATAGATGTTGCAATAGAAGAGGAAAGCAAGTTGACAAACGCTTCTCACCACAACTTTATGCACTTGGCTTTATGGTAACAGTCTTTAGTTCTGTAATTTCAGCACTGCAGAAGGGTTTGCCTCATGAGCTGCCAGACCAGCTACATCCTCCTTTGCAGCACCACATCTGGGCATCTTACAATGAGCAGTTCCACAGAAAACATCCAGGAAACACCAACTGTCTCGGGCTTTTTATAGAAACACACAAGTAAAGGCCATCTTTGCTCTCTCGGTGCTGAGCGAAAAGGGAACCCCAAACGAAAGCAAGATGGGTAAAGCCACACGCTCACAACATCACTGGGGTTTCTCCTTGTCTGGAGTCAAGGCTTCCACAGTATTTCTGGAAGTGGAAGCACCATCACACTGACACCTCGTGTGCTCACAGTGCAGGACCAAACCTCCCCAGGAGGGAGCTTTGGAAGCACAAACGAAGCCAAGCAGCCCGGGAGCTTCGGCCACACGGAGGCAGCGAGCGGCACCACACTTGCATCACAGGAGACCTGCCTTCCTGCGCTAAGGGGAAGTGCTGAGGGCTGGCAGAATGCTGCCCACTGCCCCTGCTTCAGATGCCTTAAGAGCAACAGAGGTCACAGCAGGCAGCTCCTGCTGCTCTCCTCCAGAAAGCAGACACAAAGGGAGCTCTGACAGCCTTGTAGGAGACAACACATGGCACTGGTTCCTTTCTCTCACAAAACACTGAAGCACAGCACAACCGTGCCCATCACTCCATTTCATGACACCTACCGTATCTCTAGCCTGCATAAGAATTAAGTGCTTCAATGAAACCCAAACTGGTTTGAATCAAACCAAATCAGTTCTCATGAGTGCTGCATGCTATTTGAAGAAGTACACTGAGGTTATAGCTCTGATCTCACACTTGACAGGAATTCTGCAGAAACTTGGACTTCTTGTAAATCTCGCTGCTTTATGCTGGCTAAGGAGAAAAAACTAGTAGAACAACAAAAAGGAGGTTTCAGTTGTAAGACGTTTTTGCTGTACAGAAAGGAATAGAATGCAGGTTAAACAGAGTTCACAGGAACCTAATCTTCAATTAATCTTTGAAATAAATGCCTGACCTCACACATACTTTACAGTTAAAACTCAACATTCCTGAAGGGAGCTTTGCTGCCTAATCCAACAAGCTCCCCACCTCCTTTTTTTTTTTTTTTAACTAAATACAGAATCTTACATAAGTTCATTCTCTCAAATCATTGAACAAACAGGAATTATTCACAGGGTCTTCTTAAAAAGATATGCCTTAAAAGAAGCACAGCATAGTACTTTGTGCTGAGCATCTGGCACGATGCAGTCTCTAATAATAAAATATAATTAGCTGGCAGAAGCCTTGAACATTTAGTCTAGGAGATGAACTGACATAATTGCTTTCTGTAACTTCATATGCATTTATATGAAATATATTTTTTTAAAAAGTTGGAAAGCCAAAGCGTTCTGGGTATCTTCAGGGGAAAGAGCTCTCCAAGCCACAGTGCCAATCACGCTGATTGTGCTGAAAAAGCTCTGATTCTTCTTAAATCAGACCTTCTTAACTCTGAACCTACTCCTACCTGTCTGCTGAGCTCTCACTGGGGTTTTAGTGGATTCACGGTGTTTCTCTGCACACCTGATGATGTGAAAATGGATACATCAAATTATTTAAAAGGATACATCACCCACACTTCATTCAGCTTTGCAGTTACCTGCAGGTAATTCTTCACACTTATTTCAGACCAGTATTTGAAGGGGGGGGGGAAGAGTATTTTTTTTTGCTAGGATAGCCCACAAACTATCCTCCTCTGAATTACAAGAAAACTAATGATGATGCTCTACAAAATTTGCTCAAAAAGTATAGAAGGAAAAAACCCCAAACAACTACTCCAAACATATTGCTGCCTTCTACCTCAATATGAAACCAAAGTTAGTAGAAAAAAAATTTAATCTTTTTGTTTGTGGTAAAAGTGCACACTAGCTTTAACTGAAATCAGACAAAAACAATGTGCAATAGAGCCTGCTGAGAAATGTTTCACTGAGAAACTAGGGCTGTCTTACTTTCAGGCCACAGGAAAATCTGAATTAAAGATCTGACTGCAGAAATGAAACTCCTAGAGGCTGACTAGACAACTATTTAGTAGAACAGAAAAAACACACACAGGCACGTGCACTCACTCTCTCCCTGCCTCTACAGGCACACAAGTAGCTGGTCTCATTTTGAGATTTGTTACTCATTGTTCATTTCCAGCACCCATTTTTTGTTGGCCTATTTGTTTGTGGTTAGCAGTCTAGCCTGCAGAATTCTCTGCAGAAGAGATTTTTACCATACATTTCAGATGTACATGCTTTCCCCACACACCCTTTAAGCAAATGTGATGTTTCCTCCCCTTCAACCTCCAGAAGCATCCAGCTGTTTTCACATTCCTTCAACGGCCTCTAGTGCTGTGAACATCTTCCCACCCTGTCACCACGTCAGTGACAGGACTGCCAGTGCACTACTGCACAGTCACACTGTCCCTCCACCTGCCCCATGTGTCTAGCCTGCAGAATTCTCTGCAGAAGAGATTTTTACCATACATTTCAGATGTACATGCTTTCCCCACACACCCTTTAAGCAAATGTGATGTTTCCTCCCCTTCAACCTCCAGAAGCATCCAGCTGTTTTCACATTCCTTCAACGGCCTCTAGTGCTGTGAACATCTTCCCACCCTGTCACCACGTCAGTGACAGGACTGCCAGTGCACTACTGCACAGTCACACTGTCCCTCCACCTGCCCCGTGTCCCCTGGAGGCTCTGGCATCATCTCCTGCTCTGCAGCTGGACCGTGTGCTCTGCCTGTATTTCATACATGTATATTCAGGCATGTATATCCTGTATTTCATCTCTAACAGCTTCAGAGAGCTCCCAGGTGCAGCTCCTGCTCAAACAGCACCTGGGCTCCCTCAGCAGCCCAGAGTAAGAAGCCAGCCGTGGCATCAAGCTGTGTTAGGCAAATGTCTGCAGCACTAGAGCACAGCATCCGTGAGTGCTCTACGGTGTGTTAAGAGCAGAGTATCTCCTCCCACCTGCTGGGTTTTTGCTCTGGCTTCTGGCACTACAACTGCTCATGTTTTTAACAAAGACACTCATATGGAAACACGTTTGCAACTACTTACTTTGGCCAAAGTTAAAACACGTATTGTATCTTAGTAAGACACAGGAAACAGAATTCCAAGGACTCTGAAGAAACATTTAGCCAAGCTAGTCCATTTATTGAGCCTATATCAACTGGTTTTGATTAACAAGGGAAAAGAACAACAAGCAACATACAAAATAAATACTGAAAACAAGTTCCCTTCACATTGATAAAGTTTTCTGGGGACAAACATTAGAAGAGATAAAATGCATTCTAGTTGGAAGAACGTGCCTCAGGTTTATAAGAAAAAAAATTTCTTAAAGAAGATTCTCTTTAAAGAAACTATTTTCATACAGCACTACACTGAAGAACTGAATCATACACCAAAGAAAAAGCTGTGAGGGAGAAAAGGTTTATATTTACATATAGGACACACAGTACAAAGCATCAGCTGGACTTATACTTTACATTTAGAGTTTATACCATTAGTGTGGGTGAGCTACGGACCAGGAGAGCTCTGAGTTGTTCACAAGGTTACACTAGTGCAGGCTGTAGGTGGATGTCCCTGCAGACACCTGACTTCTATCAATCAGTAGGGAAGCTGTGCCACAACACTGGCCTGGACAGGTAACAGTTCTGATAGTGCCCATTGCCTCCAAGGCAAGCATTTATACAAATGAAGACACCTTTGCTCTTAGCCTCTCCATGCTCGCTGGAAGAAGATTCACCATCTCCTTACTGAGTTCTAGCTCAGTTTCAACGGCAGGGACAGCATCTGGATACTTTTCACAATAGTCTACCAGAAATGAGTAATATTCCAATGATGTTTGCATATTTTCCAGTTGCTTTTTGCTATCTGAAGTAATAAGCTTACCATACAGTCGTGCAATGTGAAATTTAGCCACCATGGCAGGGCGAAGAACATCTTCCTCGAGTTTTTCAGGAAACACCTTATCAGGGTTCCTCAAAGAATCTAAGAAGAGTTCATAGTATTTGATTGCAAACTGAGCCAGAGAATTAATTTTTTTAACTGTGTGTGAGTCTAGTTTCTCCAGCCTGTTACCAATAGCCACCTTTAAATCCATCATCTCATAATAGGTGTCAGCTAGCTCACACTGAAGCTGCCTGCAGATCAGCAGGTAGTACTGGGGGTTCAGGTCTGTATAGATGGGCTCCAGCATGTCTATTCTACGCTTGTGCATTTTGCAGCGCCTCTCATAGTCTTCTTCAAAGAAAGCAAGCACCTTAAACAAAGCACTGTGATCCTGAACAATTTCAATATGGTCAGTAACATAACCATCGACCTGAAAGAACTCTTTTGCCTCCTGAACATAGTTCTGACCAACCAGGAAGACTTCTCTGGCTTCTTGAAAATCTAAAGGATATATGCTGCTCACTTTCTCCTCCATGGCTAAGACAGAGTCACTTATATCACTTGTCCCAAAAAGGACAGCTTTTTTCCTGCCCTTCTCCTTCTCATCCTCTTCTTTTTTCCTTTGGGCTTTAAGTTCCAATTGCCTGTCTGGATCCAGCTCTCCTATGTTATCCTGAAATGAGAAAGCATGCTAATTACAAACAAAAATGGCTTATAAAGAGAGACTGAATCATTTTGAGTCACTTCTGAAATATAAACTGGTGAGCAAGACAAAAGAGAAATCGTTGATGTATGAGGCCTTATATTAACAAAACAATCATGTAACTTACACTATCAATTTTAAAAAGACATAAAATTAAGGTGGTTCAGTCTCTGTACCCCGTGTGACAAAATAGCCAAAAGAATAAATGTTCAGCTCAAGGGCTCTGCTTCATAAAGCATTTAAGCAAATGCTGGTTTAAACATCTGAAGAAATATTTAAATGAATTAAGTGAACTGAATCAAATCTGAATTAATCAAATGCTTGAATGAATGAGAACATCAGCACAGAAAACTGTTGCACATCAAGACAATGTTGTTACTAGCAGTTAAATAAGAAGGAATCTGTCGAATCAAGCTGCAAGAAAATGCAGCAGAGAGGAGGAAAATTTGTGAATTTACTGTAAAAGCGATGCACTGATCACTCCACAGAGCTGATCCCCTACCTGTTCTTACTCTTAAGTGCTGCATTTAAGTCAAAGCATACCATGAAACACTTGCTGCACTGCAAGCATTTATTGTTTTGCTCACTGGGCAATTGCTTATTCCTTGTTACCAACTGCAAACCGACTCCTCTTGCAAAGATCAAAGCAGACTTAGTTTGCTGTTAGACAATGACAGCTACAGAACAGATCTTCTGTTACCTCCAGCAATTTCCGAGCGCTTTGCAGAAGATTCAGGCAATACTTAATCCAACACCTTGCAATTTCAGCTTTCCTCTCTGGAAGGTCCTGTTGGTCTGGCTCTGTTTCATATGCTGAATGGACACAAACACATAAAAACTTTAAGAGAAGTCCAGCACTCCAGCAAGACCCTCAAATGCTCCTGCAAAGAATATACTTGTATTTAATTTTCCTCATGCTTAGACAGAAACATGTTCTCCATCTTAGTTTGTGTAATAGTTCTGTAAATTGTCATTTTTGGTAGAAACCCGTACAGATTAACAAGGATCTGTCATGTATGAGCTCTGAAAATAAATAGATCATAATGCATCTTCAAAAAGACCTTTCATCTTCAAGATGTTTTACTGGAAAAGGTTTCCAGGTCTCTTTGTAGTACGAGAAAGAAATCAGGACAATTCATTTTCTGAGCTTCAGCTGTCTGCCTAGTAATTGTTTCTGAGGATGGTAAGGGCGTTTGCATTGCAATGGGCCCCAGACTTGCTACCAAAAAAGGGAACAAAATAGGGGAAACTGCCTTTGGTTAAGCTACCTGGTACAAATATAACATTTATTAGCTCTACAACTTCTGTATTTTTCTCCCCAAAGTCTCCCCACTATCATAGACAGCAGCACTGCTGATATCTCAAGATAACATTTTCATAAACCAAACAGATTTCAACAAAAACTCATTTCCCAGTCTCTCTGCAGAAGGCAGTGAGTTAGCTGAACAAGGACATTCCTACAGGACAGCAGCACTTCTGATCACCAAATAAAAAGCCAACTTCACACTCAGACCCACTGCACTCATTATCTTTCATTAGAGCAAATGAATTTCTTACTAAGGAATTAAGAATTGCTGCTAATCTAAGAAAAGGCACATTTATTAATTATGTCTGTGCTCGCTTATAATCCAATTAACATGATAAAATGAAAGTGCTTGGGAATGGCCAATGCTGACTGTGTACTGGTCTTTCTGTAAGTCAGAGCCTTCCACAAGTCCACAGCCCAGCTCTCTGTCCCATGCAAAGGAAGGGAAGGTAGGACAAGCAATTATTCACCAAAACAAACTGGATTATCACTACTCCTGTGTGGTACAGGAACAAATCAAGACAGAACTTAGTTGACTCATTCTTGCTCCCTCTCCATGAATTAAAGCTCTATCAGCTGGAAGCTTCCACTTGCCCAAGACAGACACAAAAGGGTGTGCTGTAGATAAGCAAAGCCTGGGCCTAAAACAGAGCACTGACACTACCACGGAAACACAGGTCCTTAAAACTAGGGTCAGTTCTCTCACAGTTTCTTCTCCTGCCATTCACACTGGACTGCCAAGTTGTTCCTTTGCATCAAGGCCCAAACAACAAGGAGGGCAGCTACAACTCCAAAAACAGCCACTGATGAGGCTGCAGCGTCCAGCAACAAAAGACAACACAAGTACCCTCTGGATTTGGGGTTTTTAAAGCTGCAGATTTGCTCCCTCTTTTAAAGCTATTCCCAGGAAGCATCTGGGTTGGTTCACTGAATGACTGCCCTCTGATCACTGAGCCAAACTGCATTTTTAGCACAGGTACAAAGCCAAAATGGATGAGAGACACTGCCAATCTTGAAGTGGATATTGTTTTAAATTTCACTTTTACTAAATTACTGCTTTCTGAAACACCAGAAACAAGCACTTTTTCTCAGAGGGTCTACAGAGTCAATCTTGAGCTGTAGTACCAGTCACTTTTCAGAAACATTCAACTCTATTAAAACATATTTTAGAAAATTAACACTGGGGTAAGTTTTGTACATTTTGTTAGACTTCAGTTTTAAACATTAACACATAGTGATGCTTAATTCACAACAATTTTATTCAAAAATTTTTTATAAACTCACAGTCTTCAGCAGATGGCACCTGTCCAGCTTGGCTGAAGATGACACTGGCTGCTGCTAGACAGTGTCGAGCCTCCATAAAGCATTCCTGAGAGAAAGAGAGCAGCATTTAGCAAAGGTGTGAGCAGCTCAAGCACTGCTGTCACTTGGCCAAACCCCTCACCTCAGACAGTGAGCATACATGACCACAAGGGAAATGACAGAACTGAGAGGCTCTGGAGCATATTCCCCAGGCACTGGAAGAAAACACATTTTTTCCACACCTATTACTGAATACAGTATTTTCAAATTGTTTTTTCTGTACCACAGCCACAACACCAAGCCTTTCCTTTAATAATGGCTATGTGCACTGAATGCTCTGAGTGTTCTGGCTGCCCTGAGGTGAAGGAAGTGATGCCTTGTTGCAAACACTATCACACTACCACGGTGGGAACAGCCGGACACACCGCTCCACACCGTGAGTCACATCTAGATTCCTTTACCCATATTTGGCAGTGCACTGTTAAATAACTAGTGCTACCAAAGCATCAAAAAGATATGGAAATTAGGAGTTACTACTGAAATTAGCATTAATTGCCTTAGGTAGGGCAGGAATCTTTGTAAGCATCAGAAAAGAGCATCTAAATAGCCTGGAATATAGAAATTCCTAAATAAAGCCTCCTGTGTTAGCACATCCTAACAGTATTGTTTAGAGTCAACACATGGCAAACAGCTACCAACTCACATATTCACTTTCATGTTCACATAGGTTCAAAGAACTCTTGAGCACATGCTAAGGCACAAAGGACAATAATTTATTGTCAACAAGAAGCCATACCTTGGCCCTCAGATGCTTTCTGTTTTCAAACTTCATTGTAAGAGAACAACATAAGAAAGAATTTTAAATTATTATAACCCCAAGGTTTACTTATGAACATGACATCACATCACTGCTAATATTTCATTAACTACAGAGCTTTTCTCATGTTTACAGCCCTGTTCATCTTCCCCATTGCCATCACAACCCCACAGGAAAGCCACCATGTCCTCTTCAGAAAAAACCTGACAGATGCTTCATGTCAGAAGACAACCTGTGGTTTTATAGGTGCACGTTTTCAATTCATCTTGGAGAGCTGTCTCAAAGAGCTGTCTGAACAACTGCTTCAGGTGACAGCTACAGGAATGGTACAACTACAGCAGAAAAGGCCTGGATGTACCTTGGAGAGATAGTACTGTGACAAAGTGGCAGCGTTGCGAGCCCATTCCACCGGGCAGTAGCCGCAGTACTCGAGCTGCCGCTTCAGGGTAGTGTGGCAATACTGAGCAGCCTTCTCAGTCATGTCCAGGTGCTGGTACACTTGTGCCAGGTAATACAGAGTATGTGTGTAGGCTTTTTCAAATCTGGAAAAACAACAACAGTCTCCTTAGATGTTTTTCTTTTTCCTCCCTAAATACTTACTCATAATTAAAAAAAAATAAAGTAATAATAACATAAGTATGCTGCTTAACACCCCACCTTTTGGATCTTTCTTGGTCTGTGAGTTTTTCTTCCTCTGCCATGAAATGTTCACTGGGATCCAGGGGAGGATTTCCATCCTGCAAGGGTACATGACACATTCAGCAAACTGCATTTCTGTGGCACAGTGCTCCCTCTCCTGGCATCATTTACCATTTGCCAACTCCAAATTCAACAAAGCTTCACAAAACCCATCTCAGTGCCACTTCTCCAGAGCAATTCCACAACACTCAGGAGATTCAGAGGATGAAAGTCACAATTCCACACAGAATGACAAGGCTCACAGCCTGCAGGAGACTTCTGCTTATGTATGTTAAAGCAATGCATGCTGCCTGCACCAGAGATACTCAGCCTGCAGTCTACAGGACTCTACTGGGCATCTTTATTTTGTACAATAACATTCTGGGCTTTGAGGCACCAATTTAATACCAAGCAAGCCTTCAAGTGTGAAATATTAGTTTGCCCAGCTGCACTGAGCAGCAGCAAGAAAACATCCTGCAGGAAGTACTGCAGAGAACACCAAGTGCTGAGTGCTCAGCAGAGCTGCTGTGAAGACTGCTCTGAAGGGACTCCCAGAACCCACGGGCTGGCAAGATCATTTACTCAGACAAACAAATGAGACAACACACAACAATGTCTCTGCAGGGTGGAGCTGCTAAACCTTCCTATCAGGCAGAACCTACATGCAAGTTATTAGTGAATAGTGGTAGTTCCCATCATTAGAAGCACTTTTTTGTTCTTCAAGCCACGAGTTCAAGTCAGAATCCTTACACAGACAACTACACATCTTTTGGCATTGCTGTATCCAAATCTGCCTGAAGACAATTGTCATCAATGTTACCAGACAGCTCACAGGCAGTCCCAACAGATGAACACTGCTTATGGCAGAGCTTCATTAGCCTGGGCTCATCCCATTTCCTTTGCCACTGTGAGTAACTTCAGGTGCCAATTCTAAAACACTTCAAATGAAACCATCTTTTAAGGAGAGCTTTTCTCCCATTACACAGTCCACCCTGGAGGGTGTCCAACGTGCCTGCCAGCAACAAAGTCCAGGTTAGTACGCAGCTTGTCTAGCCCTCTCCTAACCACATTTCTTTCTTAGCCAAAGAAAAAGTAAAGCAACAAATAAAAATCTGTTTCAATAAATACTTTTCATGAGTTAATGCAGACTTAGGTAGGAACAGGAACAAGGGCAGAGAATACACTCACTTTACAGGGAAAAACACACACTATGTTTGTACTGCTTCTCATTAAAAATCCCTGAACAGACTTGTTTACTTGCTTTTAATACAAGTGTTTTACTCATCTTAAAAATGACCAAATGTACCTGAAACACATAGTGACAAATAAACTAAAGCATGTTTAACCTACCAGAGGCATGCAGATTTTTATATATGATCTTTTAATCTGTAGGTCTTTGTTTACAACTCATTAGTTGCTTTTATGAGATGAATTTATAACTCTTCCTCTTGTTTACTTTAGATGCAAATGTTCTAACAAGATTTGGAGTATGTCCTGGCAAGACTAGAGCTATTCCTGCAAAGAAAAGAACTGAAATGACACAGTAAGCAAAACTCTTGCCTCCTTCCTGTATATCTACAGATCTATCTCTGATATTAAGCCTTAGGCCTTTACCAGTCCTCAGAAAGAGCTCTCCAACTCTTCCTTCCAAGAGGATTTCATTAGCCCAAGCTCTTTGCCTTGGTTTTGCTTTAGGGGGAGAAACCACCCTATCCAATTTTTTAAGTTAATTTGACCCAGTCAGTAAACAACTAAATCCACCAGCTCAGGAAAATGTCTCCATCATCAGCAGTTTACCAAAGACTCCCTGAGAGAAAGGCTTCCTGACAGCCTAGAAATGGGGAATGTTACAAAAACTACATTCACATATTTATAATTTGTGAAACACAAATGCTGACATCATTGTATAAATCTGTGGTTTCTTCTAAAAGGAAGACTAAAATCATAGTTATGTTTGACTGCATAATGCCTTGAACTGTAAGTGGTAAATAATGGTGGGGGAAAGTGAGGCAAGTGATCATCATGTATGAATAACCCTGGTGCTTTGGTTTTGTATAGGAAGTGCTTACAAAAGTGATGTAAAGTTTTTAGTTGTTAGAGAGCTGTATGTGTTTTTGTGAAAAAATACATGTTAAAAATGAAAGAAATTTGGGATTTTTTTCTTCTTTTAGTTTGCAGTAAACTAACAAAAATTTTAGTTTTTGTTTCTTTACATTGTCAGTAAGAAAAAGAAGTTATAAGAAGAGTGTGGCCACAGACAGCAATTCACAACTTCCCAGGCACTGTCCTGGGGAAGGCTGTGAGAAGATCAGAGGAAAGAATGAGAAACAATTCTTGTCTCCACTTGTTGCACCTGCTGTTGTGAACACGTGGAATGTTCTGGAGATTTGCTTACCAAAGGGTGGTTTCTTGACTGGCCAATGGTGATGGTGTTTGGATTCAAGGATCAACTGGGTCCACCTGTGTCATGAGTAAGGGTGATGGGTTTTCTTGGTAAGTAATGAATAATAAAGTGATTGATCAGCCTTCTGGGGATCATGGAGTCAATGCTAATTATTACCCTGTGGGGACACCTGGCAGCAACAGAAGTGTTCTAAAAGTTTTGCTCTAATTCTTATTACTCTTTCTTTTAATTACTGTTAATAAATTTTTCTTTACATCCTTTTAAACCTACTTTACCTTTCTCCTAATCCTACCTCAAAACAAGAAAAAATACACTTAACAATTAACCAACATTAAACCCACCACACTCTTTAATACATTAACCAAAAAATCTCGAATTAACAAACCAAAACCACTACACCTAGTCAGGCAGCAAAGTCCCAGAAGAAATATTCAGTAACCACTACTAACAAAAATTTCAAGCTTCAGAAAAGTCTACAGTGCAAATGTGAAGTGTACCTGGCAGCACTTTAATCCACTATACCATAGCACCAGTTTAATTTCATAATAACTGGAGCAAGTGCCAGATGCTTTTGGAAGTCATGTGATAGCTGGGGCTGGGTATAAATATCAAAGTTGAACACCAGGAATTAATTAGAGAGATGCAGTATCTCTGGTTAGCCCAACTGATCCAGAGGGCAGGAAATAAGCTGACAAGCTTTTCAGCACAAGTGGGGCTTTCTTCTAGATCCATTACCTCTCCTACCACTGTAGGCCAGCATGACTGCAAAGGTGGAAAGAGGGCAGTAACCAACCAATAAAAAAGAAAAAATCTCCACCAGTATGAGTACTCCAAACCAATTTCATGGTAAAACCTGAACTGAACCTGTAATTTCATCAAACTAAGGTCTGTCCAACCTATTCAGCTGAGCTGAGACACAACTACAGCTTCTTGAAGGCCACAAATGTTTTTAGTTCACTCCAGAACTGTCCCTGAGGCAACTCAGTGTAGGAACAGCTTTGCAAAGAGCTTAAAAATAGCACAAGGGAGTCTTTGTAGGATCCACAGCAGAATCCACAGCTCAAAAGGTTGTTTAATATGCATGAGAGGGTTAGCTGTCTGTGAGATTGTCCTCTTGGATATGGAACTAAACTACTTGCCCCTGCAAAACACTGCACAGTCAGAGCAAACCATGCAAATATTAGTTTTGCTTCCTTTTCCCACTGAAAGCAATGGATATTCTTAATGCATTTCCAAGATAACATTTAGTAATAGTCCTCATCAAAATCCAAATTCTACCAGGTGTCAACTTTGGATTATTAAAGGGCTTTCAAAAGGCACCATTATTTTTGAGCAAAATTTTTTCTATTTTGAAATTAGCAAGTAATGTACTAATTTCCCTTGTCCTATGGTGCAGTACAACTTGCATCACTTGCCAAAAGTATCACAGCAGCCAGTATAAAGCACAGAAACTCAAAACTCCATTGCATGTTTATTTCAAAGATTACTTAAGCTGCAAGTGGCAGGTGAAAGCAAGACGTCCCATGACATTAACACAGTACCTCTTTCATGTACTGATTATACAAGGCTTCTGCAGATTCCAGGTAAGTTTGTGCAGTTTCAATTTCATCCCTTTGAGACCACAGGATCCCCAGAATGTTCTGAAGGTAAAAGAAAAAAAAATAGTCACATTCCATTTGAATCACACATTTTTTTTCCAAACAATTGATCAATCTTCATCCTTATGTAGGCGTGTGTTCTAATACAACGGATTTCAAGAAGCAGAAACTGAAAAGGGAGGTGGTTTTCACACAGCAAATTTTTTTTCACATGAAAAATGCACCTCACAGTCCTCTGTTTACTCTGCTACATAAGGACTAGTGTGTTTAAATAATGAGCTTTTTCCACAGAGTATGTTCTGCATCCAATTCACGCAGCTTTTATGTCACATACAAACATCATAAAATGAGACAAGAAATCAGAAATTTGTTAACATGACTCCAAAATTAACAAGAAAAAAAATGCTAGGAATGAATGCTTGTACATTTTCAACAATGGAAAGAGATTAAAAGCACCTCTGAGGTCCAAAAGTTATAGACTATTGCCTTCAAATTTAAATTAAAGCAACTGCATCTGTGGACTCAACTTTGACAAGAAGTACCTCTAATTTTATTAATATGATGGTGTTAATAATGATCTGTGTCTGATGTGCTAATTTAAATCCTAGGCAGTGCTGTTGCAAATCTCAAGAGGGATAAAAAAAAAACCCCAAAAACCTTCAAAATAATTAGAATGTGTAGCTGTATGCCAGCCCTGTGCCCCTTTCAATTCCACTCCTCTATTTTTATAAGAAAGCACATCACATGCTGTTTATGAACTGAAACACTTTGCCGAAGGCCAAGCAGTGGAACAAACCAGATGGCATTAGACAGAGACTGGGCAACACAATCTTATGCAAAAGCTCAGCAACCAGAAGTGGGGATAAAGAAAGAAGCCCAGCAGGAAAAATGAATGCTTCTTCCTACAAAACAGCAGTCAGTGCCGTGGCAACACGCTGCAGACATCCCAGAAGGTGGAGATGACGGCAGCCACCGCTTTTAAATCAGAACTGGTTTAAATTAAGCACTCAAGCCCGTTCCAGCCCTTGGGAGCGAGGGCTGAGGGCTCCTTTCCCGGCGCTGGGCTCAGCCCCACCCCTCAGGACAGAGGCAGGTAGGAGCAGAGCCAGCACTGCCGGACCACAGCACCCTCACCATGGCAAGCCTCATCCTGAGGGCCCCAAAGCGGTGAAGCGCCTGCGGACTTGGGGCTGACAGAGAGAAGGGCTGCCCTCCAGCACACAGCTCAGAAGCACGGTGCAATCTAATCCTGAGCCACAAGGGCCACAGCTCCCCAGGAACGTGGGGGAAGATGTTATTTACTCCAGCTGGAGCCATCTCCTTACCTTCCCAAGGATAAGGGGTTTGTAGGAGTGCATCCAAACCCTCACGCTGAAGGACAAGGAGCAGACAGAACCTCACTGTCCCAGACAACTCAGCCCATTTAACCAGTGTAAGACAAGTCATCATTTCACTTCCACCTTTCCATGTCAGCCCACAGCTCCTTGACAGTTGGATGAGGAAGCACTATGGAGCCTTCTCTAATTAGGGCAACCATTTTTGACATAAATATCTAAATAACTGCTCTCTTTCATGCACTAGAAGATTACTTCATTGACCATGACAAAGTGATCAAGTAAAAGCCCTTCTGTGAATCTTCATGATTATTCCCTTCTTCAGAATAAAGAGAAAATGTTATTACTTCAAACACCAACAAAACTGTATTTATCCATCTGAGACAAAATGTAATAGCTTAAAATATAACATGCAAAGCTGAAAACCACTTTATCGCTTCAGGATAATGCATCAATAAAAGCAGCTCCCAATGTCACTCTGACAACCAATGAGTTAATGTATCACAAATACATTTTGGACGTAGTGAAGTCTTTTTCTAATTTATTCTTGCACAGTTCTCACAAGTTTTGTCTCGGTCTGTCCAGAAAAGCACGCTGATCTATCAACACCCAGTTTGAATGAGAACATATTTTAGATGCTCCGCACGCCCTGAGGCGCCAGCAGGAGGCTCAAATCAGAAAAGCAATCCCTCCAACAACCACCACCGGCGAATGATTCCCTCCAGCAGGAACTGAAGGCCAGGGCCGCTGTGTTTGTTAGGGTTAAACGAGCAGCGCCTATTAGGGTTAGGTTAAACGAGCAGCATCTCCTGGCGGTGCCCTGCAGAGCAGCCGGCCCAGCCCGCCGACACAAGGCCCCGCTCCGCCGGAGCCCCCCGCCCCACGGCAGCCCCTGCGGCCTCCCCAGCCCACCTGGGCCTGTATGTAGAGGGACACGCAGTCCGGGGAGAGGCGGTGCGGCTCCAGGAGCTGCGTGCAGCGCTGCAGGTGCTCGTCGCCGGCCGACAGCTCCTCGGTGTCCGTGTGGTTGACGCCCAGCTCGTACTCCAGCACGGCCCGCCGCACGGCCAGCACCGCCTCGCCGCCCTCCTCGGCGGCGCTCAGCAGCTGCTTCACCTCCTGCAGCAGCGCCCGGGCGCTGTACTTGGAGCGGTACGGCTCCGTCTCGGGGTCCTTGAGGGACTCCACGGCCGAGAGCGTGCGGGCGGCGCGGAACTTCTCGCACATCGCGGGCCACCCTCCGCCCGGCGCCGCCATCTTCCCGCCTGCCCGCCCCGCCCCGCGCCGCCCGACGCGCGCGCGCCCGGCCCCGCCCCCGCCATGGCCGCGCCCCTCAGGCGGCGCCGTGAGGGAGAGGGAGCGGCCCGAAGGACAGCGACCCCCGGCACCCGCGGGGAGCGCCCGGGGAACGGGGCTCGGCGGGGCGGGATGTCCGATTTTTCTGAAAAAAATTTATTTCAGAACCCGATTTTTTAGCGCTGCTGAAGAGGCAAGGAGTGGTCACTGTCCATGCTTGGATGAATTCTGCTCCCTCGCAGGGCTGAGTTTCCAGGCATGCCCACTGCTAGGTCACAGATGCCCTTACAGGCAGCACCTCCTTTGCTGGGCAGAAAAAAAATCTCCCAGAACACCCAGTGACTTCAGCAAACGTGATTTTTCGCCATCCTCAAAAACAGGCTGCTTTATCAAGGAATAAAGACAAAGAGGAGTGTGTAACAGGCTTTTACTGCCTCATAAAATTCAGCTCAGTCCCATTATCTGTAGCGCAGGTCAATCGAGCGCTCTGTTAAAGTCCCCGATTTCCACTCTTGAACCAGCCGTTTCTCTTGAAGTCTCCTTGCCTGCTGTTCCCGAACCTGGAGAACCCTCGTCCTGCATCCTGGGGATATTCCTCCAGCTCAGGCAACTCGCTGGCCACCGACAGCTGCCAGCGCCGCGTGTCCCTCCACTGCTCCTGAAACCAGAGCGAGGAACCAGAGTTTACCTGCCTGCAGGGGTGTCCGAGGCACCTGCAGCACCAGAAGCAACGCTGAATGCAAAGGCATTCCCAGACAAATCCCACCCCTGCCAAGACAGGCCATTAGATCCCCCTTGGGAGACACTCACAGTCCTGTGACAAAGGATAAACAATCACAAGGGACAAGAGGGAAGTCAACAGAAAACTGGTGAATTCTCAAATACACTGGAGAGGCCAAAACACAGACTAGCCAAAGAGCACAGAATTTTGTTTAATGAAATCAGGTAATATCATGGGAATGGAAATGAGAAGAGGCACGGCAGGGTACTTACTAATGGTTCTGCTGTGTTCTTTCTAATCACTGCTGCCCATGCAAAATCCTTATAAAAACCACAAACCTCCCTAACCACCCCATACTCAACCTTATACAGCAGTTGCCAATTTCCAAATCACCAGATTTTAAAGCCAGCTCTGGCTACACAAACATACCTGTATATTACTCAGCTCATCAACAGGGATATCAAAGCACACACCCTAAAAAAAACCAAACAAACAAAAAAGGCACAAATTTACAATGAAAGAATAAAGGCCTCAAAACCAATCCCACTCTATATATATATATATATATACTTCTGATGCCTTTTTTTTTAGGAGGCAATTCCTGCATTATCATTTAGGAGCAATGTCTCTAGTAAGTGTTTTAAAGCACTCAACTAATATCAAAGCCTCTTTTTTTTCCAACAGCATATGCATAAACAGCATAATCAAGATAGGTTATCATTTCCTGAGAAATGAGTTTGAGTAGGGACAGCGCAGTACCAACATTCTGTACCAGTTCTTCAGCACTCCAGCCTCAGTCCCTGCACAAACTGGTGACATGAGAACACACACAAAGCCCCACACCCCTCCATTCCCAAGGCTGGGCCATCTCACCATCTTCCCCTTGAGGAAACGCATTGCAGACACTTTGTTATCCACCTCCTCCCCAAGCTGCTCCTTCAGCCCCCGCCAGGCATAGCCCATGGTATGCATCTCTATGGAGCACTTCAACACCATGGTCACAAAGCCCTGCAGGAAACAGAGAAAAATGTTCAGCAAAGCTAAACTTGGTCAAACCTGCTGCTAGAAAACAGATTAAAAACCCTCAAACTGATACAAGAACCACAGTTCAGTCACACGGTATGTGCAAAATTGGGTTACCACACCGTGACCTGGGCCACATTCTCCCTAAATGCATTAGAAAATGGAAATGATGTACTTTCCTTCAGTCAAGATCTCTTTGAGATCAGGCAATCACATGCCATACTTGCAATACGACAAATGTAAAAGATTCTTGATAAGGAGAAAACTGCAACAGCACAAAGTAATCTATATGCTTGTAAAATGTCATTAGTTAAACTCTCTTAGAGCATCAAAATCTTCTGTCACTTCAGTCTCTGGAGAAATTCTTTCCATTTTCATCACAAGAAAATTTACTGATTTTGAGTTTCTCCTTGGAAGAGCTGATTTCAGCTAAGGAACAAGCAACACAGCAGGAGCCTTGGGGGTAACAGCTATCCAGAAACCCAGCTGAAAAAGCCTGGGAAGGAGATGCCACACAAGCAATTCACACATCCATCCTTGTTACCAGGGGTGCCTCACTACTTACGGCTGTGGAGTTGAGCAGGGAGCGCTGCTGGATGTGAGCTGCCCCAGAAATGTGTGCCAGGGCTGCAGCCAGGGCAGCCACTGCCCCCTTCTCATCTATCAGCTCTTCAGCTGATTTTCTGAAGTAGTCCACTGCAGAGGGAGGAACGGCCTCCAGCAACCTACACAGTTACAAGGTGGGTTTAAAGACATAAGGAACGGCCATTGTGAAGTGCAGCCACGTGCAAGACATACCCTAAATCAGTTATTTCTGAAAAGGGCAGTGGGGAAAAAAAAGATAGGAAACTAACAAAAATATTTCTGCAATGCTATTTCTGGTACACCAGCTCCCCCCATCAATTTTCAGGACACAGTGAACCCAACAGCATGCCCATCATCTGCTTCATACTGGTCAAATCCTCACTAATTATAATAACCTGCTTCAAGGCAATTTCCACCACAGGGGCAGCAAATGTAAACAGAGCTGCATGGAATAAAAGCCACAACCCTCAGAAATAATACAAGGAAACACAAGCCAGGGCTGAAACACCCTCACTACTGCAGAGTAACTCCTCATTATACCAAGTATTGCTTTTTGCACGCTGCTTCCACCATGTCATCTGAGCAAACAAAATCAATTTCTCCTCATGACAGTATTTCCCTCTTCTGTCACTAATTTCTGATTTTATAAATAAAGCTTATTTTTTTGCAAAAACTTAGAGAACATTATGTTCTATGAAAAGGTCTATGTTCAGCACACAGATTTACTGATGCCATCTTATGTTGTCTATACACAAAGCAGCTGACTTCTACAACAAAGGCAAAGCCATGCTCACATACAGGCCTGATCCCTTAAAAATGTGCATTAAGCTCTAAGCATCTAGAGCAACAACATCTCTAAACCTTTTTTAAGAACAGAAGAATAAACTTACTTTTTGGCATCACTGCTTGAAGCTTTAATTACATCTGCAGCAGAGGGAATGCCTACACGCTTAAAGGTAATACCCTGAAATCAAGAAAACAAATTAAAGGTATTCTCAGCAGTCTACAATTCAACCCTGTCTAAATCACATTACTGAGATCTCTACTTACTGTTTGCAAGATCAACATACTCTTTGCTAAGTCATTTCTAAAGCTAAAATGAACTTTTAAGTTCCCAGCTTTGTTAATCTGGAGCTACTTTACTGCAATGTGCATGCAGACTCTGATGCAAGTCTGCCTTAGGCATTCCTGTCCCAGCCTGCCTGCTGACATGCACGGGGGGACTGCCAGCAGGGGAAAGCTCAGGCAATGCAGGAACAGGCCGACACAGAAGCATTTACAAACACCAAATATCAGCACTTTAGGCCTACTCATTTATGGGACAGGAGACTCCCGTTCTGGACTCAGCAACCCATGATTACAAAGCCTAAGAGTGGCAGGGTCCTTTTAGGAGCTGATTAATTTCCTTAAGCAGAGCTCTGAGGTACAACTCACCGCTTTGTGCTCGACTTGCTTCAGACGATCTTCTTCTCTTCTCTGAAACAAGCAAATGCAGATGCCGGTCCGGCCCGCTCGGCCCGTGCGTCCAGAGCGATGGATGTAGGAATCCACATCCTTCACAAATTCAGGGCAACGTCAGAAAACCTTGTGCTACTTAAACTGCTGACATTTCAGATTAAACACAAGCTAAACTCAAATTCAGAAGCCTAATGAGTGATACATTATGTATTTATACCCAAACTTACAACTGCACACAAGCCACTCGAGTTTGCATGTGCTCCCCCACCCAAAGCAGGCTGATCAGCTTCAGCAAGCACTGCTAACAAGACACTTCAAGTTTTTTAAATAAAAAGCTCCACTGGAGTTTCAAAAGATGAAAAAAACCAGCAGAAACATTTTAGAATTTTTATGAAACACAGCAACATTCAGAAAGAATTCAGGAAACTTCCAGAATGTCAAAACCGATCTTATGACCTTCCAGAGTAAACAAAACCCAAGACTTTAATCAAAGCTCAAACTGTAAAACTGTAACTACAAAATTTTAGGCCTAGCATTTACAAAAAAAATCATGAACTCAGAAATTAATTGGAAGAGAACATATTTCTGATGCAACTGAGAAATAAACCATGATCCCAGCACAAAAATAAAAAAATAAAAGCTAATCCAGTTTTTGTTTCCTCTAATGACTTACTTTTGGTGGTGAGCACTGTATAACAAGGTCAACCTCAGGAATATCCAAACCACGAGCAGCTACATTTGTTGCAATCAGCACTTCAAACACACCACTTCTGAAGCCTTTTAATGTGATTTCTCTCTGTTTCTGTGGAATGTCACCATGCAAGGACTGGGCATCCTGTCAGTAAAACAAGCCATTAACATGACATTTAATGGGAGTCTAGGCTGCAGCATCTAAAGATTAACTGTAAACCCCAAAACACTGTGCAGAGCAACAGAAAATAATTACATAGCTGATAACAAAGGAATATAAAACACCCTGCTTTGCTGGATCCTTCTCTGTGATTTACTGTGAAAGCAGCATGGCCAACAGGCAGAAATTATTGCTGCAAGTTTTTAATGTGGATGGTAAATGAGATTTCTCTAATACGAGGCAAACCATGTATTCTCACCACTGTCCACTCTCCATAAATCAGCGTTCAGTATCAAACAGGATTTTCTCTGAAAAATAGGCAGCACTTTTCTTCACATTCAGAAAAAGGGCAGTAATTCAGGCAAGCACAGAAGACCTGCTCAACAGATCACCTACATTCCAAACAAACTCTTGGCAAACCTTCCAAGGGCAACAAGGCATTTCATTCTACCATATTAGCTGTATTTTCCTGAATGACTGTTCAAAGACCAAATGCCATTAAGAGATGGGAATCCAAAAAGCACTCTAATATAAGAAACCAGCTCCCTGTTTCTTACAATTATTACTATCTCCTGTTTATTCAGCATAGGTTGTGTATTTCCTATTGATCTGTGTCCTGCACTATTTTAAAGCCAAAGGAATAAATTCATAATCTCTGTCAAGAGGATATTTTAACTTCGAAGTTGAATTTTTACAAACAGCTTTCACAAGTCTTAAAACCACGCACAGAAACAATTTTCTCCACGCAGTTGCAACCCCCTATTTATTTCAGGGCATTCAACCCCTGGCAACCCCAACCACTGCTCTCCACTCAGCCCCAGTACCTGTTTGAGAGAAGCATTCATAGCCAACTCGTTTGCTTCCCTTTTGGTCTCACAGAAGACAATGGTCCGCCCACGGGTGCCACTGTAGACCTGGATGATGTCCCCAAGAACTCCTGCCCTCTGAGATGAGCGACACTGTATGGCCAAGTGCTGTTTGGGAAAGAGACAAGAAACCTATGATAAATCTAAGCCACACACACAACAGACAAAATGAACCAAAAAAGCATTTTCATTGTTTTAAGCTTGCAAATGACAGGTCCCACATGAAAGCTTTGCTTACAAAATCTGTGTGTCAACCACGCGAGACATTCCACACGCCCATTTATAAAGTCAATGCATAACACATTTTATCAAGGCCATTTGCTCTCAAGACCTGCACTGCTCTGCAGCAGAACTCACTTCCACAGTTGTAGCTGTCCTTTGAGTCTTCTTTCCAATCAGGTCAATCTGTTCATACTCCTCTCTCATGTATTTTTTTGCTACATCATAAACCCATCGTGGACAAGTTGCAGAAAACAGCAGCGTCTGCGGGTTGTTCTCAGAGCCTGCAAGGAAAGGCCATCAATTTCAGATATCTCAACAGACCCTGACACTTGAGAACTGATAAAAGAGCCAGAGTTGCTCTGACACTGACAGGTCTCTGTGTGCACTAAGTCTGTACAATATGTGTACACATATGTGTAAGGAACACTGCCAGCAATTAGCTTTTCATGGCTTTCAAAGCCACAGTGATGAGTCTTGCCCTTACTAAGCGCTGAGATTTCAATTTCCAAAAATTCGAGCCCTTCCAAAACTTCTGGAACTAGTGAAATGTGGCAAGGAGTTCCACACATTAAAATAACCTCCTTCTGTGCCATACCTGACAGCTTTGCTGAACACCCACTATATCAGAATAGAGCAAACAGTCCCTCATTGTCAGCTTTGTGTGGTGACAAGTGTACAGACAGACCATAACCCCAACCCTCTGCTCAAGTCACCTCACTCAGGACGAGGAACACTAGAGATTAGGGAGTTTGGTTTGCTGCCTTTTTTCCCCTTTTTTTCACTCTACTCCTTCCAGAGATGCCACTCCAGCCCTTCAGCCTTCTGACACCTCTCTTTGAACCCTTTCCAACTCTACCTTCCCCTTTTCTAGCATCACACAGAGATTTTAAGTTAGAGATGCACCAGAAGTTTCTAAAGCAGCATAATTGTGTTTTCTGCATCGTCCCCTATTTCTCCCCTGATGTCTCACTTCACCTTTCTTATAGGACGATCCCAAGATCTCTTCCACTTGTTCAGCAAAGCCCATGTCCAACATATGATCCACTTCATCCAAAACAACGTGCTTCACACTGGAAAGTTCCAGCTTGCTGTTCTGAATGTGGTCTTTGATCCGGCCAGGAGTTCCCACCAGAATATCGATGCCACTTTTAAGGAGATCAACTGGAAGACAGAGAAACAAGGACAATGTCAGACTGCCAAGAGACAACATGTTAAGAAGTCAGCAACACTTCTCATTTCAGAAGCAACAAGCTGCTGCCCTTTAACCTCAGAATAAAGCACAACATCTAAAGTAACAGACACAGGAGTTAACTGCAGTCCTAGCTGCTCTGTCAGGAGTACCAGCCAAACCTCGCTGAAGTTACAGGAAATACACCAATGTCCAAGCAACAATCCTTTGACATTAGAAACCTTCAGAGCTCTACTACATGGAAACACTTCCATTTTCCAGCTAAACTTGGTCACAGCTACCTCTGAAGATCCACAGAGCCACAGGCACATACACAGTTCTCCCCTTTCTGTGGACTGTCACCTAGTCCTGCTCTATGTCCACACAAAAACACAATAAAGAAGAAATTAACAGACACTTCACAGAACTACAAACATTCTTTTCCCTGAAGATTTATTTGAACTAAAATAATTCAACCCAGGCTGTGTGCTTCCTTTGAAAGCCACACCAATTGAGTTCCTGACCAAACTCAAAGTCTGAGGGGGCAAAAAGCCCATTTTTACTTATGGGATGCATTTGGAAAGTCAGCTCCAATCCATTAGTAATTCCTTGGCATTTACTTACTCTGTTCTTTATATGAAGCTCCTCCATAAAAACAAGCAACTGACAGTTTCTTTGTGAAATTCTTGAAGTCTTTGGCTACCTGAATGGCCAGTTCCCTGGTTGGAACAAGAACCAGCACCTGAAGGGAGAGAAAACCAGACAAAAATGCAGCTGTGCTTGGGAGAAGGTGCAGGAGAAGAGTTTACTTCGTGTCAAACAGCTTGCACTCCCATCTGCACTCTACACTTGTTGTAGAGGTGCCCACAGCTTCCCAGCATCCCAGCAATATTAATGTTCCTTGCCACAAGGAGCCTCAGGGCCAGCAAGAGGGAACAAGGGTAAGTGCTACAAGATAACCAAGACTAGAACAACAGCAATTTTCTTTCTTATGTTAAAAGCCACATAAAAGACACTTCAGCAACATTACCAAGGGCAATGAAGGTACAGCTCATTGAGTAGGAACAGTCACTCAATCTGGTGTAATTAGATTTTAAAAGATACATACATAGCATGATGCACTCCAGCCATACATCCCTCCTTTTCTCCACCAATCTGCCTTCCTCCAGTATCTACCCTTCCCCCCAATATCTAAGAATGAACCAACAGAACAAAAATCTGAATTAATCTCTTAAAATCTTTCAGGCAGTATGATTTCAAAATTTACATTGCCTTCACAGTTAATAAAATAAACAGATAAAGCAGGCAATGAATCTGCAGACTGTATATAGTTCTGCAGCCTAATGATAAATACATGCACTGCAATGCATGGAAACAGGTATCTGATCACTGGCATCAGGTTACCAATTCCATCCCTGGAAAACTCCACTTGCATCTCTTGAGGATCCAGACATGAGGGGGGAAAAAATACCCAAAAGCCTTGAGTTATCACTGTGGGATTTACAGTGAGAAACAACCTCAGCAAACAGGGACAAGTCCAGGTGACTCAAACACCACCTCAGAAGAGGCAGGGGACTGAACCCCAAAGCTGCGTGCTACATGCCCAAGGACAGCAGCCTGGGAGTTCCCTAGGCACTGCTGCAGTGCCCTGTTTGCCCAAACACAGGAACAGGGGACCCCACACACAGAACGTGCCATTACTGTGATGCTGCAAAACTCTGTCACACTCTATCTCCTAATCTGAGCAAAGCATCCACTATTACAAAAACCAGTAAAGGACAGAAGTCCCCAACAGAAAACCCCAAAGCAACAGTAAAATCACTTTGAAAACCTGCCATGCTCTAAGGATTTGATGTAAACCCTGAAGTGTAAGTTACTTTTGGTGAACGGCCTCTTCTCCCATCCTGCGAGACACTCTGGAGTTTTTCAATCAGTGGAAGGGCAAAGGAAAGGGTTTTCCCAGTTCCTGTTCGAGCTTGAGCAATTACATCTTTGCCATCATATATGGGCTGGAAAGTCTTCACTTGCACAGGGAACAGGTATTTTACACCTCGAGCTGGAAGATAATTGAAAGAGGTTTCACCAAAAGACGAACTAAAAATGAGAAGTCCTCATATATAAATTGCCCAAATATGAAGGGCACACCACCTCAATCCTGCACACAACAGAAATTGCAACTTAAAACAATCCTGCACACAACAGAAATTGCAACTTAAAAGAAAACCATGTATTTTTGTGGTTTATTCCTACTCTAGATCAAAATATGTTCCACCCACACAGTGAGTGTTGAGTATCCACGATGAAATACAGTCTTGTTATGTACAGTTTGAGACAACAGGAGGAGAAGGAAAAAACCCAACATGTTTTTTCTGATACACCTCAAGATTTTGTGGTAGCTGGGTTTTTAAGGCAAGAAGGTGAGGAAGTTTGTTTCAAAACATTCTAAAACTTCAAAGAGATTTTGCACAGTGGAAGTGAAACGAGCCATCCAAAGGAAACTTCAGAGCAAGGAAAGCAGAAAGTAGTAAGGAGAATGTTTTCTGACAGACAAGTATTGCACATCTACCCAACACAGGGGACAAGAACCCTACAGCAATGGCTTCCTCAACAAAACTAATCACAAAGAGAGAGGAAAATGCCCCAAACTATCTATGAGAATAAACAATCTGTTTTAAGAATTGAAAATCTGTTCTTACAAGGCAAATAGTCTCCATATACAAAACTCCATCAGGCTTGTCTAAGAAGCAATATTGTAGACAGCAGACATAGGAACAGAAGTAAAGATACACAGAATGATGCTGATGAGAAATGTGTCTCTAGAATGTTTATCTAGGAATAACCACTCCATGAAGAATAATTTTGCATTAAGGCACCTGAAACTGAACAAACCAGAAAACTTTTTTTCTACTAACAACAGCAGATTCTCTGAATCTACAGTGATTGCTCATACCATCCTTACCATACAAACGTAACACAATTTAGGAATATTTACACTTGGCTTACGTAGGTAACAGAACACAATTCTGACCAAACATTTACAGAAATGTCTTCTACCACATGAACTAACCTGTGAGAAGCTTGACAGTGTTTTGTGAGAGAGGAAAATTAGAGAAGGCGCCTTCTTTTTCTTCTTCTGTCAGCTCCTAATATGATTTAAAAATAAACAAAAATCAGAAAAAAAGACTTCATGTCCCTCCAGGAGGAGGACAGAACATACCCTACACAGCCTCTCAATAAAAGCTGTGCAGTTGCTTTACAAGCACAATTTAACCAGATACCTCCTTTCTAGTCAATAAAAAGAAAACCCTTTTGATGTAGCCACTTGTACATATATGCTTAGCAAGTCAGGAAATGGAAACTACTTGTTAAAAATCTTAATTAAAGTCCACTGAAACCCTGAGAAAACTGTTTTTCACAAGAAAACACATCTGGTGTCACAATTCACTGTGCAAAGCAGGATTTTCCCTCTATGTGTTACACCACGCAAAGAGCTTTGAACTTTACACATGAGTAAATAGTCAAAACACAAAATTTGGCTTTTACTTCAGAGATCCAATAGGTCACATCGTTACACCTGAGGCACAAAAAGCACTCTCCTGATTCATGTTCCCACCTTCGACACAAAACTACCCACAGAAAGGCCCTTGCACGTTTGTGTGAGAAGCGTGAATTAATGAGCATAAACTGTGTCTTTCCATTACAGAACACTTGGCCAATTCTTCTTCAAAGCTGCTCCCATCGAGAGAGAAAGCACAGCACGTTTCTGGACCGTGGCTGCCTGTGCAGCGGGGAGAAACCTTTGTGCTGTGGACACCAACAAGCCGCGACACGAAGAGCAGCACACACGGAACTGCTCCCTAGCCAGCCGCCTTCCCTGCAGGACATCTACCCGCCCGGGATTTACCGGGAGGGGAAGCACGTGGAGAGCAGCTCCCACGTGCTGGTGCCTTCACTACCGAGCCGCACCCACCGCCCTGGACCGAGCAGGATGCGGGGCAGGATGAGAGGCGGGATGCCCGGCCTTCCCCATGCCCAGGAACATGTCCGTGTCCGCGACACAGCGCCGAAAGACGCCTCGTGCTCCCACACCGCCCCACAGCTCAAGTCTCCACACAGCGCGCACTACGCGTTAGCAAGCCCACTAATTACTAGCGGAACGTTAATTAACAAGACAAAGGCTTTGCTGGCAAAGCATCCCTACCTCGGCGTCGCTGTCCTGCTCTCCGGCCGCCACGCTCTGGGCAGCCGGGGATGTCACACTGCCGCCCACCGCGGGGACAGATTTCACCGCCGGCTGGGACGCGTCGCTCTCTCCTACCACACCATTGCTCTTCTCCTTGACTTTTTTCGTCTTCTTGGGCACGGGGGGCTCGAAGTCGCCGTCCCCCAGCCCGCTCTCCTCGGGCTGCGCCTGCTCGGCCTCGGCCTTACCGCGCCGCTTCGCCTTCACCTGCTGCTTCACGTTCTTCCCCGGCGTGTCCTCCTGCTGCGGGAAAGCCGCGGTCACCCGGAGGGAACCCCTTCCTCCCCGCTGCCCGCCCCCAGCCGGCTTCAAGCCCCCCAAGCCCGCACAAAATGGCCGCACCCGCGGCCGCACGTGGCGCTCCCACCTTGACCTTCCTCCGGCGGCCGCGCCGCAGCGACTCCGCGGCGGCCGGCGCCTGGGGCTCGGCGGGGCTGTGCTCGGGCTCGGCGGCGGGCATGGCTGCTGGCTGCTCCCCGGGCGGGTGCGCGACGGCAGCGCTGCTGCCAGTGCCAGTGGCGGCCCGACCCCACACGGCTCCCATGCGGCCGCCGCGCCCGCACCGCCCCGCACCGCCCCTTCCGCCGCGCCGCCCCGCGCCTTCCGTCAGCTCCGCCGCCGCCGTGAGCTCCCTCACGGAGCGCTCCAGGGGGCTCCCCTCACGGGGCTCCCCTCACGGGGCTCTCCTCACGGGGCTCTCCCGGTTGCCCACCAAACCGAGCTCGTTCCCCCATGCGCAACAAGCCGATAATGACACACTCGAGAGACCTTAATGATTTCGGAGCTGCGCAAGGCCGGGTGCTCGGTGGCGTTGCACATGTGTGGCACCACCATCGTTCATACACAGAAATTCAGGGTTAGGAACGTGCCCAGCACAGCCCCTCCACAGGGATTGCTTAGTGCTTTCCATACAAGTTAAGTAATCCCAGATAACGTCTCCACACGCTCGGAAAAGGGACTTGACGCCCGAGGTAAGCGCCTTCCTGACCCACAGTCCTGATTTTTAGTTACAATACTAAAACATACTTCACCCAGAGGATACGTGGACCTTGAGTATTTTGCCAACCCAACAATGTATACATAGATATACTTCAACATACTGATTCACTTTATCCTTACAGCTTGTTAGCTCCAGGATGTCCTTGAGTAAGGGCTGCTGCTATTAATTCTGCTGATTAGATTTGAAAACATACAAACATCTTACACTGAAGAACATCCTTACCTACACGATAATCTTGACATATTCCACATTTTGCAACACCCTCACGGGGTTATGGGTCTCCTCACAGTTTCTGCTCCTCAGGGGGCTTCCCCTCATGCTTTTGAAACTGCCTTTCCTACGCCCATTTTATAAGAAGTGACAATTTTGGACAGAAACTAAAAACTACTATGTTTTAGGGAAAGAAGAGCTTCGTTACAAATCCACAAAACAAAAACCAAACAGATTTATTTTTCTTTCAAGGGCTACTAGTGCCACACTCCTCAGTCTGGCACCTTCCCACATCTCCACCTGCAAAGTACTGCTTCAAATACGTGACAACAAAATGTGAAGTTGTAAAATAATATTTAATTTTATCAGAAAATGTACAGGTTTGAGCAGCAATTCAGATCTATGTATTATACAGTGAACCAGGCTACAGTTTTGAACGCAACAGACATATTATGGAAAGATTCAAAGAGCAATATGAGAAATAAAAGAAACAATTACTTTTTTCTTGCAGGTTTTTTGGGGTTTTTTTTCTTTGTACTTTTTTAAATGAACAGAACCTTGTTTATGAGCAAAGTAGTACTGACAAAAAAAAATCTTAATGAAGTATTTTCCCCAATGGTACAAACACACAGAAACAGCCTAGTGTAATGTAATATAAAATACTTCAGTCCCATTTTTTTCTCACTTCTGGATTGTTGAAGTTAATGTTCAAACGCTCTGCTGAAGCTTCGTTTCTGGCCTCTGCTCCTGAACCTGTTTCTACCAGAGCCACCACGCCGACCGTTCCTGGAGCTTGAGAAGCTTCGGCCATTCCCTCCACCACTCCCTCCTCCTCCTCCTCCTCCTCGTATGGACTCGACCAGCTCTGGTAGTTCAGTGGCCACACACAAACGCCAGTGTTTGGAATCTTCCCACCTTGCCTATCGGAATGAAGTCAGACACAGCAAGTTAAGTTCTAGGAATACAAATACAGGGTATGTAATAATTATTAAATCTGCTCAACTGAAAAGGTAAACATTGTGAGCTGATATACAGGATTCAAGCTTCTAACTGAAGGAATCAATAATTTTGGCTACCAAGCAAAAATCTGAGTTCACTTTACTGTGGAGAGAATTCTGGGTGAAAACAGGAGGCAGGGAATAGAGAAAAGGGGATTAAAGCTTGCTGTCTAGAAACATGAATCCAGCACCACTTTTCTCAGTGCAAAAGTTCCAAGTTACAGACTTTTAGTCTCAGGGGAATGCCTTAGAAAAGAAACACTGTGAGCTTGTTCTGTTCTTCAATTCCTTCCAAGCCATCCCTTTTGCCATCAGGAAAGGCAGGAGAAAGGCTACATGTTTTCTGTCTAACATGTTTTCTGGCAGTCCAGCCAGTTTCATCTTGAGCCTGCTGCACTCAGAACTTGCAATGAACGCACCTCTATTTCTTTTTGGTCCGCCACAGGAACGTCAAAGCACACACCCTAAAAAGAAAGAATCATTTTAATGCATACAAGGTAAGCGTTTTAAGTGACTGCAACTCAAAACAACAGAGCCCACAAATCTACACCTGACAGGCAGGCACTTTTAGAACTGACTGTCCTAAGAAACACTTTTCTGTCTTGTCATTAAGGCAGAGTTAACACGCTTCATACCTTTTACCTGTTCTGCTATCCCCATAGCCATGCATTATCCTACCTCCTGAGCATATCAGCAGAGCCCTAAGTACTAAAAAAACAGATTGAGGCCCATCATCAACAGTGCCTGGAATAGAGAAAAAGACCAAACAGCTCCCCTGACAACTGCTAAGAAAAGGCTGCATTCAGAAGAGCCCAGTATCAAATAAACAAAACAGAAACTTACCATTTTTCCCTTGAGGAAACACATCCTGCTCACCTTCCGATCAATATCATCACCCAGCACTTCTCGCAGCCTTCGACAGGCATAGCCCATGTTGCTTATTTCTTCAGAGCAGCGTAGTATCATTGTAACAAATCCCTAAAAAGAAATGGGGCATGTTCCACTCAGGCAGAGGAGCAAGCTTCAGCGCATATATCAGACAGGAGAAACCTGCCAATTTACAGTTTAGTAATTAAATCTTCAAGTAGATCCTGCTACAGGGCATCAAGTATCCTTACAGCCACTATATCGTTGCTTTTAACAAAATAAGTAGTTCCTACTGGCTTAAGTATAGCTCTTAAACAAAATGGTCAGGAGATAAATAATTCTCTATTCCCACAACACAGAGGTGTGCTGTTTCTTTCCAGTCTCAAGGCAAGCATTAAGCCATACCCCCTTCCTTACCACATCCGAGTTCAGCAGTGAGCGCTGTTCAATGGAAGTAGCACCCGAAATATGGGCCAGAGCTGCAGCCAGAGCATTAACTGGTCCCTTTTCTTTTATTAGCAACTGAGCAGATTCTCTGAAATACTCGATAGCAGTCTGAGGAACAGAATCCAGGCACCTAAGCAGTTAAAGCAAAAAGTATGAACAATTTATACACCAGTAGGCTCTGGAATAGATAAAAATCACAGTAATCCAAGATATCAACAGTGGTCAGAAAGTTCAAAGAGACAGTAAAGGATAATTCAAAGAGCTCTTCTGAACTGGGAAAGCAGGAAGATACAATAGGGCATGTGCCCAGACACACCTCATGGCATCTTTGCTGGAAGCCTTTATTATGTCTGTTGCAGTAGGAACACCAACACGCTTGAATGTAATGCCCTGAAATTTAAAAGGCAAAAGAAATAAAAATTGCAGCCCATAAATAACTCAGTTCTAAAGAAGCAGTACTGAACTCCAACACAACAAGCATTTAAGTCTGTAATTGTTCTTCTTATTTTCACCTTTTAATTTCCAATTTTTCCTAGTGAAAATTGAAAGGTTAAGCTTACAGAAAAACAGTAACACTTAGAAGGCTTTTATGTACCAGATCAGTTTAAATGATTCAGTGACCTCAGACTGAAAACACAAACCATTTTGGTACATTTTTGGAGAAAACAGAGTCCTACAAATTCTAAATTACTACTTTTAGTCTGATAGATTTGGATTTAAGTACAAATTACAGAGCCTTAGTCTAAATGTAACACTGCTTTACGTGCCAGGAATGAACTATCTCATCACAACCACATACTTAATTGTTGAGGAACACATACAGCATATGTGTTCCATATAGTGTTCCACAGCATATGGAACACTGCACAAAGTGCAAAAATGCAAGCAACAGTTCTCAGGAAAGCTGCACATATGCACATCACTGATGAAATGATAACCAGGGTGAACACCACATGGAAATACTGCGAGTTTTTTGTCGTTTCCACAAGGACAACCTTACTGGCATTTGCTGAAAAGGAGCGGGTGTTAGAACCTGCAGTGCTCCCCCTGCTCCACAGTAACTGACCCTGCAGCCACCCTCCTCCTCAAGTACCCAAACCTCCTCTGGCTGCTTTACAAACTGCATTGTGCAACTGAACCAATGAGTCTGGCAATGAGAAGAAAGCTGTACTGTACCGCTTTTTGTTCTACGTGTCTCAGCTGGTATTCTTCCTTTCGCTGATAGAAACAGATGCAGATCCCAGTCCGCCCAGCTCGGCCTGTGCGCCCAGAGCGATGGATGTAGGACTCCACATCCTTCAGAAACAGAGGGCCTATGAGTCACCTAATTCATTGTCATTTCATCAATTCATTGCATCCACAGCACTGGTAGAAGCCATTAAAGTTAACACTGAACAATGCACAGGAACTGCATCACAGAATTAAATTAGAAGACATTGTTTCACTAGTATCGACCAAATATGCTTTTCCATAATCATCGAGAAATCATGGCTTGAAAACCAGAGCCATGAGCTTGGATCAACTTTTCTTTATGCACCACCACACATTTGGAGTGTGTGCACCTCTACAACAATCCTGTTCTCCTCCTGCATATCCATGGGAGCATGGTTACTGCAGTATTAATAGCTTATTCACTGAAACATTACATTGTTTCCTTTAAACCCTTTTCATTTCAGCCAAAGTTCTCAATCTTGCGGTCCACACCTCACATTCATCCCCACTAAAGAGAATCAATCCTCCCACTGCTCCCAGCCTTGCCATCACCATACCCAGCTTCCAAGGGAAGGCTTTGAACAGCCTCCTAAGAACACATTTTAAGGAAATAATCTTTAAACATGTTTTTTACTCCCCAAAAATCCTCTAAGAAACTACTTCTACATATCTGGACGTTTCTCTCCCTTAAGCACAATGCTGATGAACTCGGTGTGGTCAATATCATCAGCTGATAGCATTACACTACTTGAAAACAAAACTACAGATTATTACAAGACATC